CTGTCAGTTGTTTTGGTAAGCAATTAAATGTATGCAGCTGTATATTCAAGTTTGGGTTTGTTTCTCTCTTCAGCCCTGGAGCATTTCTGGCTGTATTCTGCTCTTATGTAAATCTGATGAAAGCAAAATTTGCCTGAATTTCAGGCATGTTACTAAGAAAAATAGCTTTATGTCTTTCATAAAATCCAATTTTGTGTAACCTGTGCAGAATTGTCAAAAATGTGCAAAAAGATCCTTTTTTTTTTTTTTTCCTATGAGGAACCTGTATCTCAGTCTTCTGGATGCACATCATTAAAAACCTTCCAAGTTTCTGAAGGAACCAGTGGCTGGCTGTTGAAGGATGAAACTATTGGAACATGCTTGCATAGATACAGTGTGAGGGGCCCCATGAGAGCGGGTGTAATGAAAGCATCATCTTCCAGGCTCATCTCTGAGCATGGCAATAGGAGTCCTAATGGCTTGGCAGTGTCTTCAGGGGGAAGAAATGTGGTCTCTGATTGTACAGACCATGATCCTTGTCCTCTCATGCTGAGCATAGTCATGCTCATAGGTCTGAATTCCCAGTCAAGCCAACGAACCCACACTCCCAGAGTCTCAGAGAGCATGGAGGCATTTCACCCCCTTTGAATTCAATACAGTTCAAGTGGCTATATGCCTTTGAAGCTTCTGGTGTCAGGTCTTCTTGCACAAGTGGTGATGCTCAGAGGAGTATGCCTCAAACGTATAGCAAGGGATGAAACAGGATTTTTAATGCTTCAAAACTTTTTCAGATGCATCTGTTGCTTTCCAAAAGTTTGATACAGGGGTATTACCTTGCAGGTATCAATGATTTTTTTTTTTGCAGGGTTTTCCATTCAAGACATTTGTGTTAAATCTCTTTTTGAATCCCTAGTATTAAAGGAAGCTTGTTTAAAGGCAATGCCAAATACCACCTTTAGGAATGAAATGAATCATGAAGGCTATTATTCTGTAAGGTGTGAGAGATTTGTATCATAGAAAACCCCAAGGTACTGTGCTTACAGACCTAGGACCTTTGCTTTATGCTTTAAAGCTCTCAGCTTCCCACATTCTGACTAATTTCCTACTTAGCAGCTTCCTACAGCCAGTTGAGATGCCGAAGCAGCATAGGGGAAGTGATCCTTTGAAAGCAGTCACATCTGTTCCCTGATAGTCATGCTTTGCCCCTTCTTTTTAAACTTTCTAAATGGTTTTGTTTCTTCTTACTAAATACTTCATTTTAACCTGGTTTTCTACTTATTTACACTTCACTGATAACTCTCTTACCTTTTTTGCTAGTGGTCATGTTCTCTTTCATGGCTTATAATGAAAGCCACAGGCAGCAAAAAACTGCAGACAAATCTTTTCTGAGAGCATAGACACTGTATATTTTTGTTCCTTTTTACCTTTGCTTGTATGAGCTCATGAAAATTCATGGTATATTGCTGGACTGGAAGACAGGCAAATGGAGGTTGGGGAGGATTTTACTAAGAAGTATTTTCATTTGTTGTGGCTGTGCCTCGTTAAGCAAATATTTAGGATGAATCTTGATAATGTGAACTCTAGCTACTGCTTCACATGTGCAGGTGACCTCTGCTGAAAGCCACTTGGGGCACTGGAACAAGGTAACAGACCATGGGTTATATTCCATTTTCAGGGAAGCTACTTGGCTTACTGCTTTTGTTTCTGGCAAGAAAGAAGAGCAAGCTGTGGTATCTTTGGAGGCATACTCATCCATAGCTTCGGAAGGTGATTTGGAGCAGGATTCTAACCTAAATGGTCTGAATTGCCATTTGAAGGTGACTCTTCTTTAATTCCAGATGGAGACTAGCCTTTAACTTAGCTGGTTCAGACAAGTACATGCAAATGAGCAGTGGGAGTACCTCCTCCCTTTTAATTTTGCAGTCTCATCAGGTCTTCCTTCCTTTGCACTGTAAAGTTCCAATCTCAGCCATCCTTTATTTGAACCTCTTTGGGACACAGTCTGTCTTACTACATGATTGCACCGTGCTTGGTACCCTGACTGGGGCAAGTGAGCATTTCCCAGTGCTGCTATAATACAAAAAGAAACCCCTGGTAGTACTAGAGACAGGAGTGAAAATTGAAGGCCTCAATGAATTAGCCATGGTAACCACCATAAAGGACTTCAAGTTTTTGCTAGCCAAGAAGAAAAAAAGCTACAGGTAAAGGCAGACTGTTCTCCCTGTGCCCTGTCTCCATCTGCAGGATCTTAGACTGCTTGTGACCATGGACAAGGTGGCAGTTCCCAGCTGGCAACACCCCCAAGTGCTTATCATGGAGATGGCAGTTTCCAGCATGGTCCCATCCTGCCAGTTGCGTGGTTGGGAATACACACACCTTTCTTTTTCCACAGATAACCTTGCAACTAAAATCATTTTAGCACTAAAATTTTTCCTGGTCATAAGGAATATCCTCCTCATTTGTGCACTGCTTGCATATAGAAACACATGTATTGATACACCTCAAAATGCACACTCAATGTCAGGGGCAGTATCACAGGGGCGAAGCCCTGTACAGCAAAGAGCAGTGTTTGACATCATGATAGCACTTTGCAATCTCACACAGCTTGTTTGGTGTTTTCTGCTGAGGCCTTTCCTGTAGACTGCAATCATTGTACTTGCTGTTTGGTAATACAGGCTTCACTGTATCATTATCCCCATTTCATAAATGAGAAAAGCCCAACTGGGAACAAAACTCAGAGTCACCAGTGTAATAGCAACCACCTACTGCTTGAGTCATCCCAGGAGTCACCCAAGGGAATGAGGTTACTGCCTTAGTCACCAGGAGAACAAAAACCCTGAATCAGGTAAACTGCAGAGTCGGTGGTGGAAAGACATGAGCAGTGTCTGGGTTGCTGTTTTGTGTTGAGAAATCTTTTTTAAACCTAACCTATGTTAACAGCTTCCTGGGGTCCTAGATTTGCTAAAATTGATAATTCAAACACCTCAAGTACTGACCCAAATTGACAAGGTCTGGTCATTCTGGCTATTGAGGGCTGATAGGCTGTATTTCGTCACCCAGTGTGGCTTGTTTAATCGTTACTGTTTCTCAGTATTGAAACTCACAGTGTAGCACTGTCGTGGTTTAAAACCAGTCAGGCAGCTTGTTCACTCAATCTCCCCCTTCTTGCCCTCCCCCTACTCCCAGAGGAACGGAGAGCAGAACTGAAAAGAATGCAACTCCCACAGGTTGAGATAAGAGCAGTCCAGTAACTAAGGTATAACACAAATCACTACTGCCACCACCAATAATAATAATGATGAAGGAAATAACAAGGGAAGAGAATACAACACCTCAGCACCAGCCAACCGATAACTCTCCCACCCAGCCTGACCAAGGACCAACCAATACCTCATCCAGCCCCGCAGTCCCCTAGCCCTTCCGGTAACTCTCAGTTACATCCTGGACATGACATGCTGTGGTACGGAATACCTCTTTGGTCAGTTTGGGTCAGGTGTCCTGTCTCTGCTTCCTCCTGGCTTTCCCTCCTCCCTGGCAGAGCATGAGGCTCAGAAAGTCCTTGGTCAGACTAAAACATCAGTGTTATCAGCTCTGGTCCCAGGCCAAAAGTCAAAACAGCGCTGAACCAGCTACTAAGAAGGAGAAAAATGACTGCTACTGCTGAACCCATGACAAGCACTTGGGTTGCATTTGGGATACATTTCTCTACTGCAAAAGTTGCATTTAGTCCTAGAAACTTAACCATCCATCCACAATACAATCATATTTGTTTCAACACAAGAAAATAAGTGAGAACTTAATGAATTCATTAAGTAGAGACTTTACGTATCAAATACAAGATATTACTGTATGTTGATGAGGTGCACCTTGTGCTTTGCATTTTCAAAGCTCTTAACTGGTTTCTGTTGAATCAATGATGGATTTGGGGAGGGGGTGTAGATTATTTTTTCTTTTCTTTTAAAGACAACTAAAAATGCAAGTATAAACTTGTGGAATTTTCAATAGCCTGCATTTTAGAAGGGCCTCAGTGTATCTGGGGCAAGCAAGATGCATTTGGAGAGCATTTGTTGAAAAAACAAACCAAACTCTAAACCAATCACCATCTACTTGGCCTTCTAAAGGAAACTTTTGCCTCAGTTAATACTGGAGTGGTCAAGAAGAGCTGGATTTATTTTAGCCTGTTAGAAAAGGCTGTCGTTCTTCAGAGATACCACAAGAGGGTAGTTAAAGAGAGACTGAAATGTGTGTAGGCTGTCGAGATGGCAGTGCTGTTTTGTGCAAGGTGAATAGAGCTGTAAATTATTTTTATCTGTGAGGAGCTCTCCTGTTCCCCTGCATAACTGACAGAAATCTCAACGGTGCTGTGGCACACAGAGATCAGGTTTGTCTAAGGACTGACCTTGCTTTATCACATTTAATATGAGGGACTAGAAGTGGTCCATACCCAGAGCATTCAGCAAGATAAAGGCAATCATCTTGTGGAGAGTTAGGTTTAAATTGCATGGTGCTACAGTCTAGCAACAAACCACATTGCTTATGTTAAGGGAATAAAAGATGCATCTCTATAGCAAAATAGTACATATGATATGAGTTAGTGTTTGTCAGCTCAGCAAACCCTCAGCCTTTAGTGAGGATATTCCTCTGTTTTTTTCCATTACCTGGCTTTTGAAAAGATTACCCAAGGACTAAGCAAGAGAATTGCTTGAGGATGGGGAAAAAAACTAATGCCAGATTTTCTAAGGACATAAATTAAAATGGTTTATATACAATCATCAGAGCTGTCTGCTTCATGCCAGCAGAAAACTTGGCCCTCTTTTTAGCTTTTCTACCCTAGTCACCTCTGCCATGTCAGCAGAGAGCTAACACAGCCCTGCTGCTATGAAAGCTCCTGCCTCGAGGGACATTCCCTTGAGCAGGGCCTGAGGAGCAGGCAGCAGAGCATGGCCCCACATGGCCCTGCTGCTTTTTGTCCAGGCTGAGGCACAAAGTGGGCTTGACAGAGCCTTCGTCTCCTTTCCCACAAAAGGAAGGGCCATGCCCCAAACTGACCTGCCCCCAGACAACACCTGGAATTTGGGCTGTCCCCATGGGCACCAGTTCCCTCAGGAAGGGTGGCAGCCCTGCAGCACCCTGCTCCCATGGCCCCCGTGGTCTGAGCCCCTGGGCTAGCTGGTCTGACTGAAGAAGACTCCTTTGAACAGAGCGGTCCTACCTCACCACAGCTGATATCCGCGCACTCCTCTGCTCTCCTGGGATCCACAACAGCGTTCTTCATGAAGCCGAGCAGCGAGGTGGATCAGCAGCCGTGAGGTGGAACACGGTGTTGAGGCAATGGTGGCTCGCACCCACATGCTCAGAGGAGGACAGGGCACCCCAGCCAGCTGTGCCACCCCACGCTGGGCTCCCTTCAGCAGCACCAGGGCTGGGGAGCTGCAGAGACAGAGCCTCCCAGGGCCAATGGCCCTGACGAACACGTACCATCCACCTTGCAGTATTACCATTGTGCTTTGTCGTCAGCGGAGTCATGCTATGATAGTTGTTACGGTTTTGAATGACTCATTTTCCACTTAACTGTATTATTGTGGCTGACAGAGCATCTGGAGCTCTGCAGCTCTAAATACATCACTGAATATTACAGCAATATACTAATCTCTTGCTTTGAAGGATCTATTTAACAAAATACAGTTGCGTCAGGCAGGTGTGTCTGTGCCTGGTCCGGCTCACTGCTCCTCAGGCATCTGTCTGGTGATACCACAACACAGTGCACTGCATGGGGCAGAAACACGTCCAGCTGGTGACATGCTTGCAGAAACTGATTGATCGTCTTCATGTTGCCTGAAGTTGGTATATTTTGATGAGAAAATGAGAGATTCTTGTCAGCTGCACATGAGAGACCCTGTGCTTGTGCTGAGGCAGCCAGGCCCATGAGGTGCTGGTGCCTCAGGGAATTACATGGGCCTGCTCTGGCCAGTCAGTTCCGAGTGGAAGGACCCCTCTGGACTCCTTTTATTATTATTTTACTATACTTTCCTTCAGTTTGAGGCCTTTAGTCCCTTCAGGCACAGCCTGGCAGCGAGCTGCAGAGGGCAGTGTGGGAGAGAGAAACCACAGCCAACATGGCGGCGGCGCGGCCGGCGTGCACGGACACTAGAGGGAGTTGGCGCCTTAGCCTGTCGGGCTCGTATGGCACCTTAAACATGTAGTTTTGGGGGCTTTTTGCCTGTCTGAGGTGTTTTTTTAACCCTCGGGCAGACTCTGCCTGCCGGGAGCTCTTGAGCCGGGACGCTTCTGATTGTACACCTGCAAGGTGTTAGGATGAGTCTAGGTCGGGAGTTACTCTGATGAAGGCATCTTGAGGAACACAGCGAGCTGAGGACCACAGCAAGTTGAAGTAAAGGCTGGCGAAAAAAATGCTGTCATGTCGCCTGAGGTGATGGAAAGATGAAGTAAGAAAAGGAGCAGGTATAAGAGAGTAGGCTTTCGCAGTGTATTCATTTCCTTGTCATCAAAAGAGGCAGTAAGTGCCTCTGTATTCCTGGCAGCACCTCTGAGCCCTGCCCCTCGTGTGCAGGGCCTGGCGCCCTCAGCTTTGGAAGGACAAAGGAGCAATACTTGGGTGGGTTTTTTCTTCACTAAGCTTGAGTTTCATAGACAAGTGAAAGTGGGAAAAGTTGTTTTCAAATCCCATCCAGCTGAGGCAGCATGCGGGCCCGGGCAGCTGGCAGGACAATGGTGCCAGACAACCTGTCTGCAGCAGTCACTCCCCTTCTTTACCAGCGTGGGCTGTATCCTCCACCTTGGGTGTAAGAAGCAGGAGCTCCAAAAGGATTTTTGAATTGGAAACTGTGTGTTTCCCAGCACTGTATACATTTAGGGTGATAGCAGGACTCATGAGCTCTGGTAATGTGGGGATACAGCCAGACTATGAAAAATTAGAGGTAAAGTTTGTTCTCACTCCAGTTGTGTGGAGGTAAATCAAGTGCGTGTTTTCCTGTAGGCTGTTTCTTCAGATGATTGCATGTTTTAAAATTGTATTTCAAACACAGGACTAGAGGGGGCCTACAAGAAATATGGAGAGGGACATACAGAGACAGGACAAGGGGAATGGCTTAAACCTACCAGAGGGGAGACTGAGATGAGCTCTTAGGCAGAAGCTCTTCCCTGTGAGGGTGCTGAGGCACTGGCACAGGGTGCCCAGAGAAGCTGTGGCTGCCCCATCCCTGGCAGTGTTCAAGGCCAGGTTGCACACAGGGGCTTGGAGCAAGCTGCTCTAGTGGAAGGTGTCCCTGCCCATGGCAAGGGGTTGGAACGGATGAGCTTTAAGGTCCCTTCCAACCCAAACCAGTCTGGGATTCTATGATTCTAGCCTGCTGGAGAGTCTTAAGAAAGTCATACAGAGAATCGGTGCCTTTATTTCTTTGCAATATGACTCTACCCCTGCCTTTTCATCCCGTAAAGAGCTTTTAGGTCTATTATTGGAAATTCAATATAAGAGGTTTCATCATGATGTTTCTTGTTGGGTCTGTCTCCGCAATCCCCCTCCATCCCCCTGCCCAGTTTTATTTTCTAATACCCATCAGGAATGCAGCAAGTCTGTTCTGGCAGATTATTTAGTTTTATCTTTAGGTTGTCTTGAATTTGGAGGAATTGCAGTCAAAGTGGACACTGGATTTTAAGAATTGTTCTGTAATAACTGCAGTAGCTTTCTATCACTGCTATTTCTAAACTCCATTAACTTTTCTCCTATCTCTGCAGCTTTGATTTAGTAAACTTGGCTCTGAATGGCACCAAGACTGCTTGATGAAACAGGAAACAATCTATTTCCAGTAAATCTAGCATAGAGTAGTTGGATCTCTGTCTAGTTGATCGTTTACATGAGTAAATTCTGCCATCTAGATTACTGTGGGATCAAACTAGACCTGATTTTTGTGCATGTGCCTTTGACAACTTTAGTTCTGCCCAAATGTGCAGGACTGAATTTGCCTGTCACTGAAGGGTAAATCATGAAAGTCCTAGACTTTCACTTCCAAAATACTCTGCATGCAGATGCCTGCAGCATTTTGGTGTGTGAGCTGAGTGCTTTGTTTTAGCAAAGGGAATCCAACTGAAAAATACGAAGACAGCTCTGCAACACTACACTTGGTGATTCATGCTTTTGAATTTAATTTTAAACACATCCTATGAGTAAACTTGCAGTGAAAGAGTCTCATATTGCACTCTTAACTCATCAAGACAGGAAAAAGACTCTTGAAATTACCTGTACTGGGGGGGGACAAAAGGCAAAATGTGATGGTTAAGTGTAAAATTGTAGGATTTTCTTTTATCTAGAATACTAGATTTGAGTTTTGGCTTTTATGCAGGAAGATTGGTTTGCTGTTACCTTTTCTCCTGTCTTCAGGAAGTTCTGATGAATGGCTTATGTATTGGCAAATATGGAGCTAGTAGCCTGTAAAAATATCTGATGATTGTAAAAACACTAGGAGAGGATCTTTTATGAGAGTATTTATGCTTTGAGGAAGGGACAGAAGATTGTATAATGAGGAGTTCAACGGGAGGCCTAAAAGGAGATGAAATGGGAATGATTTGTACATCATAGAACACTTAGTTCCAAGGTAAAATGTTTTTTATGCGAAATTCTGAACCTGCTATTGGTGCAAAGACAGAGGCTGATGATACTTGTGAATCTTTTCTTCCTGTAGGTATCTGAAGACCTGTTGAAGATAATAATAAACTCTTGCTGCTGAGTATCAGAGAAATCCCAGGGGTTCCTGAATTTGCCACAGGTATGAAAAAAATGATGAGAGTTATTATGGGAAAAGTTGTGGCAATTGCTTATTTTGATTCTCTTGGTAAAGCATGAATACAAGGGGAACAGGCTTGCTGGCAATGGCACCAGTCTTTGATTGTGGAGCTCTGTATTGTTTTTTCAGCTCAGCAGGAGACTCACAGGTTTACACAGTTTACCCAATATCAAAATGAACCTGATTTCCCAAACCTCTCCGTGTATATTGTACATTGTATCCTGTCTCCATCTACAGGATCTATGAAAACAATGAACAAAAAAAGTCACTCTTCTGTGTGGAGAGCAAAATTCTCCAGATAACTTTAAAAGACAAAACAGGAAATGTTATCTTGAAATGTTCAACCCAAAATGAAGTAATGGTTTCTAAAGCCCCAGCACAGCCACATCCTGAGGTTGTATGCCAGCAGAGCAAACGGAGAGCTGGGACCATACTGGCTTCAGGAAGCAGATATCACCTCTCTGTGAATTGCTGTGCTTATTCCAGAGCAAGCCAAGCTTCTCAGGACTGCTGGTTCAAGAACTGGGACTTTGCAGTAACCAGACTTTCAGGTTCCCCATATTACTGGTACATACCAGTTCAGAGGACCCAAAACCAGTTACTAACGAAAATCTTTGCCTATGAAATCTGACCAAAGACTCAGTTCTCATATTTTCCGTATGGGGTTCACAGATCACAAATTTCAAAGCTCTGTCAACGTAAGGAGACACAAGTTTCCTGAGGCTGCTGATCCTGCAGTTAAACCAAAAGCCCCTTTCAGGTAATTTACATGTTTGTTTTGCCTGTGGTGTTGTGAAATCCCTGCAGCCTCCTAGCAAAGTGTATGGGGAAACTTACTCCTGTTGTTGGAAGCTAGTACATTTCCAGGATGCATTTTTGTTTTGGTTTATTGCTTTTTTTCCAGTATTTTCCTGGAAAATTTTCAGCGGTTCTAATTCTGCCTTGTGTGGTTAGGTGGCAAACACCTCAGAGCACAGCCTGGCATACTGCGTATACATATGGTACTGCACTCTGTTTGCAGCTGAATTGTAATGGCTAAAGGCCACCACAAAGCTCCAGATACTCAATGAGCCTTGCATGCTTGGCTAAGGCATGTCTTCCACCATTGTCACATCATTATATCTAGATGAAAGGGCTTTGACACTTTGATTAGGACTTCACACAACTGCAGAAATAGGATCTAAAGGGGAACTTGTGCACCAGGAGGGTGCTTCACCTCCAAGCAGCTCCTGCATGTCATGCCATGATGATTTCAGCTGTTCCCTATGAAGCTGTTCTTTGTTTAGATTTGCCTAGTCTTGGATCTGAGTCCCCTGTGCTGGATTCTGTGTAACGCAGGAAAAGGTGGCTCACTAACTGGGTATGAAACAACCAGGACTGTGCAAAGACGAGGATACAGCTTTACCTGAACAGGATGGGCTTTGGTGCCAAAGCTTTTTCAGTGGGTTTAAGTGTTGCCCAGCTTTTCCAGGCAGTAAAGAAGCACTTTAAGGTGGAAATTGATGGCTGCTCAAACCAATAACTTTGCCTACCTTTCAGGTGCGCTTCTCCCACAGGTGAAGGTGATAATATAGGAGAAGGTATGCTGGTGTTTGCTTATAGGCTACAGCTAAAACTTGGAGGAAGATTAGGGTTGGGATGTTTGTTCTGTTCCTTCTCTTTCCTCAGTTATCTTAGATCAGGGTACAGGTGAATAAACTTAGTACCTCTTTGAGCCATAGAGAATAGCTAAAGACTTAAAGTTAGACAGAAAACTGTGCATCTTGTGGAGACTGTTTCTATTCTCAGGAGTCTTGGTAAGTTTTTGGTTTTGTTGCTGTCTGGTAGTATGTGTTGGACTGATTGTCTAATGATAAAGTGGCCCTGGTTGTTTAATAGCTCTGTATCTCACAGACTTGAATGGATTTTGTTTGTTTGGGATTTTTTGGTTTGGTTTGTGGTTTTGTCATGTTTATAAGAAGAATTTCATAAGTGGGGAGCCCAGTCAAAGAAAAGTGAAGTTCAAGACTGCATGTAGCTGGTAAAGGAGGAGCTCAGCTGTGGTTTCACAAGTTCATCCTTATCAGCAGCTTGGTAGAGATGACTAGAGAATGAATAGCTAGATGAACCATGAGTTAAGAAGGAGAAGAGGGATGCAGAATAACATGTAAAGCTGGTCACTTCAAACTGTGAATGACTTTTGGTTTGAGGAACTCATTCTAATGCTATTTGTGCTCAAGCTGCCCTTGACAAGAGCAAAAAACTTCTCTTCCGGGTTGCAATGTAGCGATTTTTTGCCTGCCCTAAATTCACTTAATTTTAACTTAATCACTCTGTTTTTTTAATGTTTCTCTGAGACGTACATGTTGCTGGCTCAGCACTAATAGTGAGAAGTTGAAAGAAGTTAATCGTGCTGTGTAGCTCAATGCCTTATGATTTATTATTAAGAATAAAGACAAGCACTCCTCTATTTTATCTCTAATGTGCAGTTAACTTAATTCCTAATCCTCTAAAGAGATGGTGCTCTTCCAAACAGTTTCGTTTCTGCCTTGCTTTCAAGTTGCACGCGGAACTTAAAAGCTGAAAACCTTGGTGCTGAGAAAATGTAAATAAATGTAGAAGTCAGTCTTCATTAGCTTCTTCTAAACATACAGGGAGAGAAGTTTTCTTTTTACTGGAGTGCCTAGTTGAAATTAATGCTTAGCAGGCTGCTTTCCTGTTCCTCTTGTGCATGTAATGGCCACTGACTGATGGTGCAGTGCAAACAAATACCCACGGACTCAATGTTGGCTTAGTTCTCTGCTTTAAATATTGGTGAGTGCCTAAAATACCTGTTCCTCCAGGGCTGCAGTTCTTTTCTTAGTCTGGCTGCCGCCTCCTCTCCACTTTCAGAGTTCTTCACTAGGTCTGAGTAGTCACTGAGGGCATGTGGGATGTGGTACAAGTTAGTAAGCTCCTGCAAGCAGTCTTTACGATGATGGTTTTCTTACTTTTCAGTGTATAATTCTCTGAAGATACAGTGCAGTGTCTTTAGCAAATAGTTTAATAAGCTTCCTCTGTGGAATTTTGCCATTCCTGTGTTTTTACTTGTGGAAAAACACACACTTTCATCCCTGTTCACTGCCTCTCTGTGATACAAGCTCCCAAACTGGCAATGCAACATCTGTCCTCAGATGAAGGTTTCAAACTGCACATAGTCCTCTAAATCTCAGAATTTAGAAGGTTTAGAATACAGTTTTCGTTGCCCCTTTCACTTGGGTGTGTTTAATTTTAGCCTCTCTCAATCTTCCGTTTCCCTAGTACCCATTGCGTTCACCTTACTCCACTCAGCTAATGGGATTAACAACACACTTAGTGAATTTATTGTATAGTATTGATTTGTTCATACCAATCTTTCCCTCTTAACCGTAATCTCGTATTTTCTGTGGCCTCAAACCAGCCTTACTAAATACCCCTCCTGCTTTTTGACTTCATATAAAATCACAACAGTGATGAAAAGCCCTGAAGCTGATCATGCTCTGTGCCCACAGTGCCTTTGCTGACTTCAGAAGCACTGAAGTCTAAGGGAAAGGTGTTGTATAATGCTCCCACATCTCTTAACAGCTTCTTGATGCTATATAAATGACTTCCCAAAATCCGAGGCTTGTGTTTCTCCCAGTGGTTAGTCACTTGGGTGCTTAGCTTGGTACCTTTTGGGGAGGTTAAATACCTCAAATATTTGCTTGCCTGTGCTTACTCTTCAATTTCAAACTTCTGGCAAGAGCTCTACATCCAGATTCCCTGGTGACCTGTGGAAATCTCTGCCTAAGTGCCTGAAGCATATAAATCTTAAGCTTTCTTAGAGTCAAGAAACATTTGCAATGCAGCAGAGTCGGGTTCACTGAAATTAGCAGCTGCTTTCCACAAATTGTGGCAAAATAGTGTTGATCCTCTCTGTAAAGAAAGTCTTTTAACAGTCACATGTGCAAGTTCACATATACATGGACTCTGCAGTTTTAAGCTTCATGTGTATCTTTATTTTGCTTCCTGGAAAAGCACATTCAGTATGTGGACTGCATTCTATAAAAGCCAGAAATTATGCCCTGGGCTGGACAGTGAGTTTCACAGCTTCTCCTCAAGTGAGCTGAGGCTACCTAACCTGCCTTTGCTTCAATTTGTGTGGCTGTGAACATGGGTGAGGCTCCATCCATCCTGCCCCAGCAGAAGCCTCGTGCACTGTGGAGGGGAGAGGGTGTCCAAAGCGGATCCTTTGCAAAGAGGGATTTATTCTTGGGATCCTGGCAATTCTCCCATCTTCTCCAAAACAGTACTGCAATAATGACTTATTTTGGCACAGGGGAAATGGGAAACAAAATGCTCTGCCTTCCCCTTTTTGCTGTTGAGCCAGCAGTTTGGAAATAGGGCTTGCCCTAACTCAATCTGCCTGTACAGTCCAGAGCAGATGCTACTCTGCACACACACAGAGTACAGCCTCAGGTGTAGGCAGATTCATTTTCTGTCTTGCTCTGTAGTTGTCTCAGAGTTTTAAAGAACATTTTCATTATACCATGGTAGCTGTAACACACTTCCGCTGTTTGACAGCTCTATGCCAGCTCACTACTCTCATCACACAGATGAGTTTCTCTTTCATGTTCAATATCAACATTTCACTTTGCTGAGGTACAGAGCTGTAGGGTAAGTAAGGAGAGGACAGCCGCAGAAAGTAACAGGATGTAAACATGAGGGGGGTGTGGATGCTGTCACAGGGATACCAAAAGAAAATGTGATTGTGAGGGGACTTTTTGGTGCTGTTTGGCATTACATTGACTTAAATTTTAGTTCATTCCTTAAATAAAATACTCCTGAGGCTAAAACCACAACTCGGGACAGGAAGTATCTTGTGGTGTTTTGTTGTCTTTTGCTTGTGCTGGTGGGGAGTCATGGCCTCCAAATCTCTCTGAAGACTCTGTCTGTGGGCTCTGTGCTTTCCCTGTTCAGAGCCTGGCCAGTGTCCTACCTCCTGTAGGAGAAGAAATGGAAGCTACATAATCTCTATGGAGACTACTGTGCATTGGGCATTTTAATCCCAGTGTTCTAAAGTCTGTTATTCACTAGACAGAGAAGAAGTCTCTGCAAAATGGCATTGCTTTGTAGTGAATAGCTTTGTCCTAAAAAACTGAGAGATGAATTATGTTTTGCTTCTCACAGTAGCTTCTGTAGAATTTAAGTCATGCTTGGCAAGTACTTAAGGGGCATGGACATCCTCTGGTATCATTTAGCACTGGCCATGACAGTTGAGTATTCCTTCATCTTGGAGCAGCAGAAAAGCAGAGGTTTTTGCAGTGTTGAATCATGGGATTGGTGTCAAGAGCCACATTATGATAAAAATGGGGAAGTTTATATAAATGGAAATGTTTAGTTGTACAAAACTAACAGCTAGCATATGGCTAGTACCAACTAGGTAAGCAGGAGTACATCGTGGTTTGGGTACAGAGCTGTTGACTTCTTGAAGGTATGCAGCAATATAATCAGCTACAGGAACATAACCAATTCCTGAGGGCCCAGTCCTGCAGTGCACTCTGCAAATGGACTTTATTGAGTTGCAGTGATGCTAATTATGGACAATGGTGCCACTCAGTGCAGGGTGAGGTTAAAACTCCTGAGTGCAACATATGTTAGAGCATTAACATTTTCATAGTGTCAGAAGGCCATCTGAACACCTTATTTATGGTTTTATCTTCACACAAGACTTGAAATGCACCTTCCTGCAAACAGGCAGCTGATGAGATGTCTGAACCCAACCTGCAGTGGGAAGAACAATTGAAATGTGTCTGGTGGACCTATTAAGTTGATCATGTTGTGATCTGGCGCAAGTGCTCCTGTTGCGAAGTCACATGTTAGTCTTTTAATATGACCTGAGAAGGAGTTTCCAGGAGTTTCTGGTCTTCAAAAGCCATGAAGCCAGTTGAATACTGGAAGTGGTGGCACACTGTGCTCTTGCTAGAAGTGATTCTATTAATAAAAAGTAGTATGTTCTTACATATTTAAATATTAATAGCCAAATTTCTGAATATGAGAGAGGATTCTGAGCCATCATGTTGTTTTTTCCTGGCAGTGTTTGCACACTGACAGTTTAGAAGAACAGCAAGTATCTTCAACCATTTATTTAGAAATAAAATTGGCTATAGACTGAGTAATGCTGCTGAGAATTGGGATCCAGTTATGAGGCGTAGCAAAAGAGACTGACAAGAACAATTTACTGAATGGGATCTTGGAGGGAAGATGTGGTGCTGCAGTGATAACTTGTACCATACAATACAATTTTCATCCTAAGATGCTTCCTCTGGAGGTGAGATACATGTTTTAGTAAAATATATGACTTTATTTCATCATGTTTTGGGTGGAAAGTAGGTAAAGTTTGACGTTTCTATATTAAGAGTGAGTTGAAGTCATTTAAACTGCATCCCATGCGTCAAATTCTGTTCTCCATGCTGTAGGCACAGTACTTGTCCCAGGCTCTCATATAAATTCCTGCTGAAGTATAATACTATAATTACTATCTATTTTTAAATAGGTAAAAATGACCTATCAATACATAATAAACAGAAATAAAGAAATATTTTATTCATGTTTTCTGAAAGCTTCAATTATTTCTATTTGGATATCAATTAGAGTTTGCTTTTAAACAGAATTCGGAGTAGTAGTGCTCAATTCACTGACTCTAAATTAGATGGCAGTATGTTTCACTTATAAATTGGGTGCGATTACTTACAATCAGTTTAAATCAGTAAGTTTGTGATGGATTTTTACCCTGTGCTGTGGTTTCTCAGTAATAAATCCCTTGTTTAGTCCAGAAGGCATCGCTACTTTTGGCAGCTTTCCATGCAATTCAGTAATGAGTATTGGATAGGCACAGTTTCAGCAAATCAGCATTTAAGGGGGGAAAAAAGTCCCTGTAGAAGATAAGTGCATTAAAAAAAATCAATTTAACTCAACTAGTCCCAATTCAAATTGGTAGAATACTCAGCTTTGAGAATCTTGGATCTGTTCCATGTAGCAGAACTTGCACATATCATAGAATCGTAGAATAGTTAGGAAAGGACCTTAAGATCATCAAGTTCTAACCCCCCTGCATGGGCAGGGACACCTCACACTAAACCATATCAGCCTGGCCTCATAATTTAAAGGCAGGGAACCAGAGTGTGGTTTGTAGCTCAAAGAGTTGGAAGCTTTGTTACAGCATCCATGGAGGATAGGTGCAGATTATTATCATCATGTTTGATTGAACTGAGTCGCAAGCTGGCTTGACTTGTTCGTGAGGTTATATCACCCATCTGCAAAACCACTGTCAGAACCACAGAAGAGAAGACTCCAATGGACGAGAGGAGTTGCTGCTCTGGAGAAATTGCGTAGTGGTCACAGTGCATAAGAAAAGCTATCCAAAGATATCCTACCTGAAAAGCTGTGTGGATTTGGGTTTTAACACAGGAGTTGGGAGGGAGCC